CGCAGGTTGTCGGCGGTTCAAATTATAAGGATGTATGATGGGTTGGGTGTCCATCAAACTTCGTGGGATGGGAGAGCATAGACGAATCCAAGTGAGGGAAAATTGTTCAGATTTCTGGAAGCTGAATTAGGCATGAAACTAGGATGAGTTTCACATCCCATTCAGGAAGAAAGACGACTCAAGTGGCCATCTGGATTGAAGATTGTGTAAGTTGGGAGTTCAGGAAACTTCCAATAGTTGGTTGGCATCTTCTTGGTGATGGATAGCAGGCATATAGATGGATCCCGGTTGAGGATTATGTTGGAGCCTCTCTTCCTGTTCTTGTCTGATTAAGGATTGGGGTTTCGAAGCATGATTCGAACACTTGATTGGGGTATAGTGAGATGCGAGTTCAATGCGGATGAGTATGGATGTAATGGTAGATGAGTAGCAAGACCATGGGCAGTGGCCATGGCAAGATAGGAGTGTTTTCAAACTGCGGGGTGACCCATAGCATTCACTAGGTTGGCAGATTGTGTAGGAGTGTTGTAAGACTGCGGGGTGACCCATAGCATTCACTAGGTTAGTGGATAGTGTTGGAGTGTTGTGAGACTGCGGGGTGGCCTGTAGCATTCACTAGGTTGGCAGATAGTGTTGGAGTGTTGTAAGACTGCGGGGTGACCCATAACATTCACCGGTCCTTGAGTAGCGGTGAGGGCATGTCAAATCTATGATTTGGCTTGTGGATTTCTTCAGATGGATTAGAACAGAGTAGGTCAGTTTGTAAGATTGTGGGAAGGCCACAACATTCATGAAATTAAGGAAGTGGTGGGTTGTATGAGGCCGGTTGTGATATAAGACTACAGTTGGTCATGTAGCATTAACTATTAGCATTGGATTTGGTGGCGTCACTTTTGACGTTTGGTTATGATTAGTTGGATCAGGAAGGTTGCTGGAGCCATAGTGGCGAGATAGCTAGAACAATTATGGTCAGATGAGGCATTCGTGCGGAAGTCGCATGGTGCGACTCTGTAAGACTAATTGTCTCAGCAACCAAGTGGAAAATCCAGTAAATCAGTTATTCGGCATGTAAGTTGGGACCAGGGAGGTCTGGGCTGCTTTTGAAAAGCGGCCAGGGGGCAACAAGATGAGCCGAGGCGGTATTAGTGATTTGGTACTCATGTGTGGAGTCACTTGTTATTGGGAGAATATGTTAAATCACTTGCAGCTTGGATTAAATAATCTCAGAGTAATTGATTCGACCCTGCTGAGCAGCTCTCGTTTGAGTCTAACCGTTACAGGAATGAGTCTTCTACTCGAAGGATTATCTAAGCCTTCTATCAAGTAAGAGTGTTATGCAGCAATGAGTGGTCAGTGATTTTGTTCACAATAAGCAACAATATAATCAAGGGTTAGAAGTGTTTGGATTAGTTTAGAATGCAAGGGGAATGGATATAGCAGTGGTTCGGTTTGGACGGTCTGTCGGGGAGTCAGACGAGTTCAAGATCTCATATTTCAGGAAGAGTAGGCGTGGTTATTTATGTAGGGGATTGATTTAAGTGGAGAAAGGGTTTGTTCTTCATCAGGACTTGGAAGCTCTACTAAGGTTGAGTTCAGTTGCTTTTAGGAAGGTCGTGTATGCTCGGGGTTGTGGTTGTGTTCCTCAGGCTGTCTGGCGTGCCTGGGATGATAACGAATGATTTCGAGGATGAAATTTAATTTAAGTGGGGGAGAATTGTAACACTTGGTTCATTGTGCTTTATAGTTTAGACCCTTGGGGTGGAAGGTTTTGTGGATTTGGTCCCTAGGGGAAAAATTGTCAACTTCGGGGAAGTTGGAGTACGCAGGGTGTACTCCTTGTACGCTAGGCGTACTCATGCAGGTTGATCGCGGAGCTCATCCATGTACACTAGGCGTACGTGGAGTACACTTAGCGTACGCGAGCAATCTTGAAACCCTAGTTTAAGGGTTTGTACCCTATATAAACCATAAGATAGCCTCTTTTTGCCTTGTTTAACCAGCCTCCATACCCTTGAAAACCCTAATTCGTTCCTTAGCCTTTTTGTGATGTTTTTGAGCTATTGTAGGGGATTTTTGTGCATCTTGAGGAGAAAGAAGAAACTTAAAGACTCATTCTTTGGAGGAGGGCCTTGAGATCTAGATTTAGCACCTTCATTTCGTGGCTTTTGAGGTATAATGTTCAAAGCTTGTCATCTCATTTCCTAGATATACTAATTGGCTTATTTTTGGTCATTTTGGTCCCTGTGGTTGGTGATTGTGAGTTAAGGACGTTCTTGGAGCTTATCCTTGTAGATCTGGACACATTAAGGGTTTCTTGAGCATAAAGGTGCAAACCTTATGGTGGTTTTCGTCTCATACATGTGTTAAGTCATTTAATAAGCTCTTTTTAGCTCTAAATCCTCATTAAGCCATGCATGTACGTAAAGCTGGCAACTTTACGTGATAAACCTCCTTAAGGAACTCAGATTTGTGTTTGGGTTGAAGTCTTAATCGATTAAGAGTTGAAAATAGGAAGTGGATCAATATGGTGGAGTACGCTGGGCATACAAGCCCTCAAGCGTGTACGCTGATCGTACAAGCTGAGTACGCCCTGTGTACTCAGCACATTGGGCTTCAGTCGTTTTGGGATCTCGGTTTTGGGCCATGTTGGTCTTTGGTTGTCTTGGGCCTTGTGGGGTCATCCGAATTCTATTATTGGGCTATTGAGATTTTATTGGACTATATTGGGTGAAGGCCCATAAAAGGGATTGGGCCCAATTTGGAAAATTGGGCCATATTTAGGCTTTGGGTGATGATTTTAGATTTTGGGCTTTTTCGACAATTGGTTTAAGTCTTGGCATTGGGCCAAGTTCGGAAAAGGGTAAAAAGGTCTTTTACCCTAATTTAGACTCTTAGTGTGATTCGGGATCCAATTATTGATTGGATGTTATTTTGTGATTGATAGCGCGGGGATTTTAGCGGATCTTCAGAGATTTATCTGTGGGTTTCAGCTGTCTGAGGTGAGTATCCTCACCGTACAATGGGTCGAAGGCACGAATGTCGGCCCATTGGCATATGCATTATTGGAAGACTAAGGGGTGACACTTGGCATTGTATGTAAGACCTGGAGGTGGCTCCTGGCAAATTTGTATGCAAGACCAGGGTTCGGACCCTGGCAGTTAAGTAGATTGTTAGTTGTAGATTGTACGCTTGTTGTCTTTGTGATGCTTGCATGGAATACCAGGAGGTGGATCTTGGCACTTGTCTATAAGACCTAGGGTATTGGCCCCCAGATTGGCAAGGAAAGACCATTATATGGCTCATGGCATAATGGCAAGGCTATGGCTGGCACATATCATTCTCTATTGTATGTATGGTATGTGGTATTTTGGGGAACTCACTAAGCTTTGTGCTTACGGTTTATTGTTTATGGTTTCAGGTACTTCCGGTTCGAAAAAGGGTCCGACTTGATCGCAGCGCATACACCCATGTTTTTCCCCAACTTTGTGATTTTGGGATTGTACTCCGATAACTCCTTTATGGACTGCAGAGGGCCATCCTTCCAAGCTCTATTGATAGTAACCAAAACAAACGAATATTGGTAGCAAATACAAACAAATACTATCAATAATCAAAACAAATAAACAACTACAAAACGAATGAGAATTAAACATAGAAAAAAAAAGACAGAAATTTACCAGAACATCAATGAAAAATACCATAAAAATTAGAAGTGGGTTGTTTTTTTTAGGGAAATCTCCAGAAAAGTCCTAAAATTTTACCCTAATTTACGAAAAAGTCACAAACTAAATTTTGTTTACGAAAAAGCATGAATTACCGGTAAAAATGGCGATTTGAACCTTTTTTTTCCGTTTTACCGGTTTTATTACTTACCTATTTCACTAAAGTCCCATTATTTTACCCTAATTTTCGAATAAGTCCCAAAATAAAATTTACTGATGATTTAGCCGTTTTCACTATGTAACATACATTTTACCGGTTTTATTGTTGACACTGACGCCTAGTCATTAAATGAGATGATGAGATGAATATGCTGAGTTATATAATGTTATGTTTAGCATAAAACTTGATATCCGGATGTATTGTGTATTTTTTTTGGAACATACAATGCATCCAACGAAGACTACAATAATTACATAAACTAACAACAACTGCTTTATTTTTTTTACGTTTATAAGCAATATCAAATTGTTTATCTAATCTTATGTAACCCAATATATTCATCTCATCAAACATCAACTCATTTTCTGCCCTTTTTTCTTTAAAACACACATTTTATTGGTTTCATTGCTGACGTAGATACATAGTCATAAATGAGCCGATGAGATGAATATCAAATTTACAGTAAATGTAGCATTATATAATCCATCGTATCCATCTTATCAACTAAATTAATGACTAGGTGGCTAAGTTATCAATGAAAACGATAAAATGTATGTTACATGAAGAAAATGGTTAAATCATCAGTAAGTTTTACTTTGAGACTTATTCACAAATTATGGTAAAATAATGAGACTTTAGTGAAACAGGTAAGTAATAAAAAACCGGTAAACAAGAAAAAATGGGTCAAATCGCGATTTTTACCGATAATTCATTCTTTTTCATAAACAAAATTTAATTTGAGACTTTTTCGTAAATTAGGGTAAAATTTTAGGACTTTTCTGAAGATTTCCCTTTTTTTTATTGATAAAAATAGGGTATTACAAGTATGATGATTAGATTGTGATGACACTCATTATCAAAATATTAGTGACTCTATCAATGTATGTTATAAGATCTAACATGAAATATAATTTTGTTAGAATGTAATCACTCGTAAATATAGTTGTCTTGACGATTAACAAACAAAAGATGTTTTTTTTTTCAAACAATTTCATTGTATTTTCTTATGGATTGGAGCTTACTTGTGAAGTGATACCCAAAGCATATTAACATTTATAGGTTAAACATATTTCATAACATCAAAATCCACTTGCTAAAATTTATTCCCCTTTATAAAATCAATCACTTTTACCCATTTTCTTATCAGTAATACCATCCAATGGCTTTAACAAACTATAACTAACAACCATGGAAATCCACCCTCCAACCAGAACCCTAGTCGCAGAAGACCTCACACAAGACCCACCCACCACCGCCCCAATCCCGCCAAACAAAGCTAACGCCACCGACGCCACCACCACAACCACCACAATTCTAGCAGTATAATCACCAACCGCCATAGCCGCCACCAAAGGAAACAAAGAACCACACAGAAACGCCAATGCAGAAGCCGCCCCCGCCTTGTAAGGATTCGGTAAAACTTCCTTTTCTTCTTCTTCTTTCATCTTTGTCACCACCTTCATCGCCGGAGATCTGACCGGAGCAATGGGTTGATCATTTTTAGGGGTTTCAATCTTGATTTGTTGTAAGTTTGAGTTTTCTTTTGATTGGTGTTCTTGATTCACATTAATTTCAATGTCTCTTTGAGTTGAAACTGAAACGAATTCACCCACAGCCATGCTGCAAGCTCCGGCGACTGCTCCGGCAACACCAGAAAGGATCATGAACCATTGATCCTCTTGAGCTGCACCAACACCAATCATGAGAGATGTAGTGGATAATAACCCATCGTTGGCTCCTAAAATGGCAGCTCGAAGCCATTGAGCTCTTTGCAAACGGCTAACTTTGTTATTTTCTTTTTTGAAATTGCAAACCTCCAGTGTTTTAGGAGATTCATAAACCATGATATAAATTTGTAAAAAAAAAAAAAAAAGATTATGTAGAACACTTGGGGGAGTGTGGCTTTCGTGCTTATGGCACACACTTGGTTGTGAAAACAATATATAAATTTATGAATGGATTGAAAAAGATTAAAAATCTTAGGTGGTATCGTGCAAGATTCTAAGGTGAATTTTTTGGAAAAATATAATAAAGAGAATGTTTGTCTTTCTTTTTCAAATGTTAGTGATTGTATGATTGAATTTACAAGATACCAATTAGTGAAGTTATTTTACATTTTGGGAGTACCATAAAGAAACGAATCCCCCTTCATACAAGCCTTGAAGCAACCAGTTAAAAGTGTTGTCTGGATAAATAATATTTAAAAAGTATTTGAGAAAAAAGAATAATTAAACGTAAATTTCTAAATAGTTAGGATAGAAAACCTCATTTTGATTACTTTCTATAATAATTCATTTTTTCTACATATTATTAAGTCATGTCCTCCCGTTAAGTCGAGTAATTAAAAAAAAATAGTAATTTCTTTGGCAAAAATGCAAATTGGAAGTTGTTTAAAAAGGAGAATAGGCACACAATGCATGACCTAAAAACAACAAAATATGGTTTTTCCATGATTAATGTGTAATTTATGCTAAAAAAAGATAAAGAAAGTTTACTTGGGATAATGTGTGGTGGCAAAGACAAAAGGATTCATTCTTAATGATACTAAGCAACCAAACAAAGATAAATATTCTTCTTGTTATGAAAGAAACAAGATTGAACTCCATAAGTGACATATCATATGAACAAATCGAAGAATTTCCCCTAGAATTAAACCCCAAGTAATATAAAATCATCTAAAGTTTGGCAGATTGAGTGTAGCTCCAAAGTATAGCAACGCTATTACCTAGCCACCTAAGTTTTCGATCAAGAAATCGCCCAAAAACTATAAAATGTCGCAAATTCTGTATCTTAAAGTTCCCGTTTTTATCCAAAACACCATCAAGAATCAACCTTTTTGACTACTTGCAAAGAAATTGAATGATTATACCTCAAATGGTGTTTTTTTTATTGATAAAAATCAAGAATCCACATATATGAAATCAATGTATAACCAACAATTGAGCTAGCGATAACCATCTCTTCTATCTTGTTCCTCTGCCTCCTTATTTGCAACTTCAACAGATTTAAACCAAAGAAATGCCTGTTTTTCAACTCATGGATCAATCTACAGATGAATATGATAATTAGGTTTCATAAGTAATCAGAATCACAAACTTACAGCAGTTGGAACACCAGTAAACGCAAAGAATCCAAGCACTGGTGCGTAAAATATGCTTTCGGAATTCAACACTCCAAAAACGGGTTTTTGATTCACATACTCAAACACAGATCCAACCTACATCCACCCAAAAAGAAAACCCAAATCATTTTTCTCACTGAATCAATCAGAAATAGCTAGTAATTAGTAATTACAGCGGCAATGGCGGTGACAGCAGAGGCAAGCAAGTAGACGAAGAATGGGGGCTCGAAAGAGGATGAAGATGAAGTTTGCTGGGTTTCATTACGAGCCCATGGCGGTGGTTCATCGGAGTCCGGTTTACCCCATGAGGGAGTTGATTGTTCTTCTTCGCCTTTAACAGCAAATACAGTTATCCTTCTGTAAGAATTGCTGCTTCTGTTTGTTGTCTTGTGAGGGGTTCTGAGAGTGAAAATTGAGGGATTTTCTAGGGTGGTTGTGAATGTGGATAAGGTAGCGAGAGGTGGGTGTAATGTGCAGAGGGATAATGTTTGCATAGGCATTTTTGTGATTGTCGAATTGAAAGTACAAATTGAATAGAACTGAAATGATTTGTTCAGACTTCAGAGAGAGTTTCTTGACTGAGATCGGGTGATTTCAGAAAATTGGTTTGTGATTTTTGATAGATTGTGTTTAGATGGTAAGTTGGAACCATTGGTCCAGAAGAGTTGTCCCTTACAAATATCTCATTTTCATTTCCTTTTCCTGAATGATACTTCAATCCAACGGAGATAATATATTAACTTTTAACATGTCTAGTATGGATGTCAACCGGACCAAACGGGCAGCGGAAATAGCTGCCCCCGCTCCCGCCCCCGAAATCAGTTGTTGCCCCTGCTCCTGGTCCCGTCCCCGGCTCCCCCGTTTACATAGCCTCCGGTCCCGCCCCCGGTTACCTCCATCGCCCCCGGTCCCGCCCCCGTTCCCCCGGTCTATAGGCTTAAAATTCGTTTTTTTTTTTTTTTTTTTTTTTTTTGCTAAACAACTACTTTGGTTTAGGCTAAAAAGCCTATTTTTAATAACTTTACAAGTTTAAAACATAATCTTTTAGAAACAAAAAAATAACAAATCCAACATTACAAAACGACAATTCCAACAATCTTAAAAATATAAAATATGACAAATCCAATATTACAAATATAAAATACTTACATATCCAAAAATATATGATCAATTCACTACCTCTTCAATATCCAATTGGAAACGGGAAAGTGAAACCTAACCTAAACCTAAAATTAGAAAATCTATTTTGTATATGTATTTTATATTAAATATATATTTTTTATAAATGTACAACCGGGGCCCCCACGAGAGTACGAGACGGAAATACCAACTCCTGACCCTGGTCCCAAAAATAAGCGGGGTTTAATTATGGCCCCGCTCCCGCTCCCGCTCCCGCTCCCGGTATTTTTAAAAATTTAGTCCCGTACGGGATCGGGGTCCCACGGGAGCGGGGTCCCACAGGGGTTTTTGACATCCCTAATGTCTACTATTGTCTAGGTTGGTGGGTCTAGTGAGACATTTATCTCATTCTTTTCTTTATCTCTTTTTTTTTCCTTTTTTTTATTGTTTTTTTATCTCATTTTTTTCTTTTATTATTATTGTTTTTTTTATCTCATGTTTAGGTTGGAGGTCTACTGACACATTTATCTCATTCTCTTCTTTATCTCATGTTTAGATTGGAGGGTCTCATATTGTCTTCTTTATCTCATGCGCGCCATTTCAATGTCCTGTCGTTTTTACCATAAAATGTGGTTTTTTGCCACACATTAGATGTTGATATCTTGGTGTATATATATATATATATATATATATATATATATATATATATATATATATATATATATATATATATATATAGAGAGAGAGAGAGAGAGAGAGAGAGATTGTAGAAGGAAGCCGCAGTAGGCTATGGTAAGAACTGTAATGGGGGGCGGTCTACCGCATCCTGTAATGCTTGTTCCAGGTATCAATTATTTCTCAAAATTTTAGGGTTTTAGACTGAAACTCGGAAAGTTGGGGAGCTCCAACTCGTCGAGTAGAAATCATTTTGGACGCGGGATTTAGGATCTACTCGACGAGTTGGAAGGCCCAACTCGATGAGTAGACGTTGTAAAGGAAAACCCTAATTTTCAGGGATTTGTACCCTATTTAAAGAACTTATGGCTCATTTGTAGCCTCTCTCATCGTCCTTACAGCCCAGAGAATCCCTAGTCCGAGCCTTATACCTTCTTGAGTGTGTGAGAGAGCTTTGGAGAGTGATTTTGGTGTGGTTGTGAAGGATTTTGAAGCTTGAAGAAGGTGGGGTAAAGAGAGAAGTAGTAAATCTGACATCTACTTTTTATTGGCAACCATCTTGAGGTATAAAGTTGCTACCTTGACCTTTATTTGCTTAGATCTCATCTCATGAAAGTATATGGTCACTTTTGGTGCATAAGGGTGTCATTCTCGGATTTGAACTTGTCATGAGGATATGGTTTCAGATCTGGACACCTCTAGGCCTCCATGGACATAAAGTTGCTCACTTTATCTAGTCTTAGCCCTTCTCAATGCCCTAAACCTTGTATAAACCTTAGTTTTGAGTGTTTTGGCCTCTTAAGGCCTTGCATGCACGTAAAGTTGGCAACTTTACGTGGTAACTACACCCTAGGGGGCTGGATCTGTAGTTTGGAGCCTTGGATTCAACTGGAAAGGACTGAACATGAAAAGGGATGAAGGGACTCGACGAGTTGCTTAGCCAACTCGACGAGTCGGGCAAGGTTTACCCGTTTTTGGGATCTTGAGTGATCTCGGTGAACTGATTTGAGATTTCGATCTAGAGATTTTGGCCTAGAGTTTTCGGTCTCTTGGACACTGAAGAACTCGACGAGTTACTCGGGTAACTCGGTGAGTTTACTCGAGATTTCAGTATTATGGAATTTGAAGGAACTCGACGAGTTGGGGTCAACATGGACTGTTGACCTTGACTTTGACCAGGGTTGACCAAGTTTGAATTTGAGGGTATTTATGGTATTTCGGGATTTTGACAAGTTAATCATATGATGGTTGTAGACAGATGAGTTGGAGCTACAAGTTGAGACTTTTCTTATCATATCAGCATTTCTTGAGTGGTGGGTCTTCTCACCATACGAATGGGTCGAAGGCACCAAGGCCGGCCCATTAATTGTTATGTGACATGCTAGTTGGTTATGGGATATGTGGTATGCTAGTTGTACTTGTAGTACTTGCATGAAAGACCCTGGGGAGTTCCCGAGGCACTTGGGTGTAAGACCTTGGAGGGTTTCCATGCCATCGTTAGTAAAGACCTCGAGGGTTCCCGATGGACCTGGGTGTAAGACCTTGGAGGGTTTCCATGGCATCCTTAGTAAAGACCTCGGGGGGTTCCCGAGGCACTAGGGTGTAAGACCTTGGAGGGTTTCCATGGCATCCTTGGGTTAAGACCATGTGGGGGTTCCCATGGCACCCGGAGTAAGACCCTGGAGGGTTTCCAGGGCATCCATATATGTTGTATGCATGGCTTGTGTGGTGTATGTAGATTTTATAGCTAATATGGATTATGTGATTATGTGGATTGTGTGGGGTATGCTCTGGGAACTCACTAAGCATTAGCTTATAGTTTGTTGATTGTTTTAGGTACTTCTGAGCCTAAGGGCAAGGGCAAGGCTTGATGGCGCGACATGCACTCTCTCACGCGTTTTTATGGGACACTATGATATTTGAAATAAAATTGTTGATGTTATGAATTTGAAAACAATTATTCTTGAGATTTGTGGGTTATTGGAAATGTTTTGATTAATTAAAAATGAAAAATTTTATTTGAAAAATTGGGTCGTTACAAGTTGGTATCAGAGCCTTCGTTTGAGGGATTCGGGCACACTTTCGGGTGTGTCAGGACGCAAACTAAGGAAATGGTAAAAAAAATTTCAAAAATCAAAAGATAAAAACTTCTTAAAATGGAAAAAGAGGAGAGTGCAATGTGCGTGATCGGCCGAGCTCAAGTAAGTGGTTACCCAATATGTTAGCCATGCGATACTGATAGTTGGATTATGATAGTCGGATGGATTTTGCTATGTATATGCTTTTTAAAATTATATACGGTTAGGAGCTTATAGCCTTAGAATTATTGATTTGGCCTTATTTCCTGCTCCTTGTCTGGTTGTGGTCCTAGGGTAGAATCTATTATTCGAAAGTCTATTTGATCTTGTTTTGTGTATAATTTTCATGCATAAAGGCAACCTGTTACGATTGGTCTGATTTCTGCTTTGATGTGGATAGAGCAAATCGTAGGATAACCTAGGATTTGAGTTATGTGGTAGCCTGTGAGATATGTTTTGTTCTGGGACGAACTAGAGTTATCTGGTAGAACCTTGAGGAAGGTACAGGTAGGTGTGGAAGGTAGTATTGGCTCCGTACTGCTGAAAGCACAAGACCTGTACCCGAACTGATGATAGATCTGGAAGCTCTAAGTAGAACCGGTGTGGGAGGATCCCCTTTTTGGTTATCTTGATCATTCTGTCTTATCAGGATGGCGATGACGCGGTTTGGAGCAGGGGGATCAGGATCCGGATATGGGTCAGGCGACGCTACTGAACCCATTGATGAGAGGCTGCGCAAGCTTATTCAAGCCGAGGTTACCAGAGGCATCCTTGACAAAACCCCAGTATTTTTGAGACAGTCAAGGAAGGGATGATGAAGATCATGGAGGAGCGGCTCAGGTCTTTCCAATCCGAGATGGTTGCGGGCCAGGTTGGGGCCCGAACTCCCTCGTTCAGGGAGTTCAAGGTGTGCGGCGCATCAGAGTTTTTCGGGGTCAGGGACCCCATAGTTAGCCGATGCTGGGTGGCGGACATGGAGAACGCCCATCGCACGAGCTTTTTCCCTGATGCGACAAAGGTGGGTTTGCATCGTGTATGTTGAGGGATCGAGCCCGAGGTTGGTGGGAGGAGGTGACTAGCCAGTTGGGAGGAGCCGGTGTGGCTGAGATGACATGGACAGAGTTCGTCAGGCGTTTTGATTTGGATTTTGCACAACCTATTGAGGTGCAACGGCTAGCAAGGGAGTTTCATGAGCTCAAGCAGACAAGTGAGACTGTAGCGGAGATCACCGCCAAGTTTCGGGAGCAAGTACTGTTGATCTCACAGTATGCTCCAAACGAGGATATGAGGAGGACGATGTATCATTCCATGCTGAGGGATGATATCCGAGAGTTTATGAGCTTTACAGGGTGCAAAACCCTGAATGAGATGGTGGAGAAGGCCCGTGAGCGGGAGATGGAGTTGGAGTTCCGCACCAAGCGGAAGCCCGAGCAGGCACATACAGCAGTAGGTCATGCTAAAAAGCCTAAGACCTCGGATTCATCCAGTATGGGCCAACATGGTCGTGGCCGGTGTGCCAAGTGTGGGAGATCTCATGGTGGAGTTTGTAGGGGGAAGGGCCCGGTATGTTATACATGTGGTCAGTCGGGCCACGTGAGCAGGGATTGCCCCAAGAAGGGTCTGATTTGTTTCCACTACAACCAGACCGACCATAAGCGGGCGGATTGTCCGAGGTTGTAGGGAGGAGGAGGAGCAATGGCGGCGCCTGCGCCCGCCACAATGAGGATCACTGATGGCCCCCCTTGCTAAGGTGGATGCTCCGGCGGTGAAGAGTCGTGTATTTCAGCTAACTACTGAGGAGGCTCGGGCAGTGCCAGACGTCGT